ATAACTGTGAATATGACCTTATTTGGAGGAAGGGTTTTTGCAGATATAATTAAGTTAAGAAGCTAGAGGTAAGGAGCGCCTGGGTGGCTCGGTCGGTTAAGCATCTGCCTTCGGCTCAGATCATGATTTCAGGGTCCTGGGATCAAACCCAGTGTTGGGCTCAACAGGGAATCTGCTTCCTCTTCCTCTGCCCCTCCCCTCACTCATATGTTCTCTCTCTCTCTCTCTCAAATAAATGAATCAAATCTTTAAAAAAAAAACCTAGAGGAAGTGAGATCATCATCCTGGATATGAGGGCCAGCAGCTCTCCCTCTCTCTTTTTCTCTTTCTCCTGTCTAGAAAGCAGATAAAAAAAAAAAAAAAAAACTGGACAAAGTAGACATCTGGGATAATAAGGTAGAAGGCCCAATCAAGAGCCTGCGGTCCTGATTATTCTGGAGTTGCCATAGGAGCCTACATTTATATAAACAGAGATAAATAGATTTCTAATTTGGTTAGACCTTTGGTATTTCTAGATTTCTGTCTACTGCCTTTTTTACTAACAAGCCCATTAGCCACAATAAATTTATTTCTTTTTAGGCCTCTCATAAATAAGCAAAATATGAAACAACATATTATGTGAGTTCTATTTTACTTAAAATAAAATATAAACTCCTTAAGAAAGAAAGGCCCTGTGTGATCTGACCCCGGTCTACTCCACTCTCGTCTGAGGCCCTTTTTCTCTAGCTTGGCACGTGGTATCCTTAAGCCTTCCTTATGTATACATCCTTTCGTTCCACAAAAAAATTGTGAGGGCCTATTATGCACTAGATGCTAGGCACACAACAGCAAAAAGCAGCCAAAGAACCTGTTCTTAAAGCCGGTTTTTCTTTCTTTCCCTTTCTCTCTCTCTCTCTCTCTCTCTCTCTCTCTCTCTTTCTTTCTCCCTTTCTTTCTCTCTTTCCTTCTTTTTCAGGAAGGACAAATATTTTATTGGGGAAAGTATGTTCATTGTGTACTTTATTTTTTTAATTTTATTTTATTTAAATTCAGTTAAGTAGCATATAGTGTATGTAAAGCCAGGGCTTTTTTCTATTCCACTTCTAAGTCCATGTATATTCTAACTCAGAGAATTGGCCCGTACGGTTACATCCGCCCAGGGCAGCACATCCAACAGAACCTCCCACAGTGCTGGCTGTGTTCTCTCTCTCTGTGCTCTCCAACATGGTAGCCCCTAGCCACGTGCAGCTCTGGAGTGCTTGCAACATGATTAGTTTCCATTTATTTATTTATTTTTAAAGATTTTATTTAATTGCCAGAGAGAGACACAGCGAGAGAGGGAACACAAGCAGGGGGAGTGGGAGAGGGAGAAGCAGGCCTCCCGTGGAGCAGGGACCCCGACTCGGGGCTCGATCCCAGGACTTTGGGATTGTGACCTGAGCCGAAGGCAGACGCTTAACTGCTTGAGCCACCCAGGTGTCCCTAATTTCTATTTAATAGCCCCATGTGACCAGCTGCTTCCAGAATGGACAGTACAGATCTTGACCATTCTACTCCCTGCTTCAAATGGCCAACTCCTTGAGGCAGTTTTAGAAGATGGTCACAAATTCTCCAATTGAGATGGAGCCTATATCCCCTCTCCTGGAATCTGGGTGAGCTTGTGATGTATGATGGAAGTATGTTAGTGTGACTTCCTAGGCCAGGCAAGAAAAGCCTCTGCCCTGGTCTCTGGGAGGTTATGCTCTTGGGACCCTTGCTCTGGGGAAGCTCTGTCTCCGAACCTCACTACCATACAATGAGAAGCCAAGGCCACGTGTAGCCACTGGGTCCTTGAGGCATCCCAGTATCGGCACCCGTGGCTGCATAGTACATGACCACAGATTTGGTGTGTTGTTCGGTGTTCTGTTCCGTATGCACCAAGCCCCCAGTAAACGCCCAGTAAGCAGGTGCTGAATGACTGAAATTCTGAACTTTCTGTGACTGACTCTACAGTTGCTGCTTGTCCTCTGAACCGATCTTGGAAAACATTGTTTATTTTGCCTTTTTGCTCTCAGCAGACTAAATAAGATAGACTGCAAGCAAGTGGAAAAGCAAAGTGTTCAATTTCCAAGAGCCAAACATTAATTCTTGCTGTTTCAGTTCTTTGCCTTTGAGTATTTGCTGTGGTTTTTAACCGCAGTGAAAACAAACACAAAAGGCAGAGCTTGTCCGATAGCCGCGCTGTGAGAAAATGTCTGCAGTTCTTTAAAGAGCACCTGTAAGTTCACAGAATGAACCCGAAATTGTCCTTGCATGTTAGTGAGACTCTCACGAAACCTCCTTTCATGAAATGAAATCCTAATGACAAACCAAAATGAATAGACTCTTCTTGACATCTTAGCCATGATCCAACTTGTTCTAGAAAGTCCACTGGCGCAAATCCTGTTATTTCTCTTGGAACAGAAATAAAAACAGAAATTGGATGAAAAAGCAAAACATGCTAACACCAGGTCAGATAAAAAGGGGATAACCGGCTCTAAGAGCTGAGTTGGCCAGTGGGACAGAGACAGCCTGCACAGTGGAAGCGTTGAATAGCTAGACCTTGACAGAGAAAGTTTGCTGATCTCTGATAGCTCTTAAAGGAGCAGGTGACTCACCAGGCGATTTTGATCGTGGTCTGAATGAAATATTTCCAAGGACTAGGGGCGCCTGGGTGGCTCAGTCAGTTAAGTGTCTGCCTTCAGCTCAGGTCATGATCCCAGGGTCCTGGGATCGAGTCCCACATCAGGCTCCCTGCTCAGTCAGCAGTCTGCTTCTCTCTCTCCTTCTGCCGCTCCCCCTGCTTGTGCTCGTTCTCTCTGACAAATAAATAAGTAAAATCTTAAAAAAAAAAAAAAAGAAAGAGAGAAATATTTCTGGGGACTATATAACTCCCTTCACTTTGATTTCCTCTTTATCAAGCAACCTTCCGAATGTAATTAGACTTCCTGAATCTGTTTCTCTATTAAGGAGAGAACGTGCAGACTTGGTAACAGAAATTTCCAGTCAGCCTTCACAGTTACATTTCTCCCTAAATTGGTCCTCTGGTAAGGTCCCTTATAAATTCACCCCAGGAACTCCAGTTTTCCAGGGGTCTAGCTTTCCTGGATATGACGGCCACACCTGCCCTGTACTTTGATTTCTAGGCCTCTTACCCTTTTAGTATTTTTTTATTTATTGAAGTAATAAATGAAGAGTTTTAACAATCAAACAGAAGTACAGGGTTAAAACAAAAAATAACAGTCACTCCCCAAGGCCCTCCTGATCTCCAGTCCCCACGACCCAGATTTTCAAATCTTCTCCGTTTTTCATATTTGCCTTTGTAATTCTAAACAACTCACTGAATGAAAACTTCACAATACAGTCAGACCAAGTCAATAACCAGGTCCCCTTGCCCCCTTCTCTGAACATTCCCTCACCATTGCCCTCCTCCAGTCTACACTAACTGTCCTTAGAGCTGGCTGCACAGCTACCACCCTGGAGCTCCCCCTCTCCAGCATTTTCCAGGGGGTTCCCATGGTCTCTTGTTTGAGATGCCTCCTTTTCCGGACCCTGGGTTGTCATTGTGATTGATGGGGCACATCCTTCTGCTGCTTCATGAGAATGAATGGAGGGTCAAATTTTTGTTGCGGTGAGGGTTGGAAAATACTTCTATTAGACCCTTACATTCACTTGATAGTTCGTCAGGGTATGAATCTCCAGATGGTAATCATGTCCTCTTAGAAGTTGTAGGCACTAGCCTATTGTCCTCTCATTTCCTGTGTCGCTGTGTCTTTCTAATCCCTGACATTTTGTATGCTTCTGAGAGCATTTCATTTGTTCAGGTGTCCTGAGTTTTGGTCATGGTTTACCTGGTGAGGATCTTTAATTCATTGAGCTGAGCTGTCAGTGGCCTTTTTCAATCTAGAGGCTCACACTCCTATTTGGGAAGTTTTCTTTTCTTTTCTAATTTTTAAAGATTTTTATTTATTTATTTGACAGAGAGAGACAGAGCAAGAGAGGGAACACAAGCAGGGGCAGAGGGAGAGGGAGAAGCAGGCTTCCCGCGGAGCAGGGAGCCCCATGCAGGGGCTCGATCCCAGGACCCTGGGATCATGACCTGAGCTGAAGGCAGACTCTTAAGGACTGAGCCACCCAGGCGCCCCAGGAAGTTTTCTTTTCTTTTTCCATAATTTCTTGTCCTCCTTTTTTTCCTGTTTTTTTCCTAAAGATACTTTGAATTGAAAATTTGGGCTCTCTTGATCAATCCTGTGGTAGTTTGGTCTCTTCTCTGATACCTTCTGTCTCCTTGTCTTTTTGTTCAACTGTCTGAAAAATTTCCTCAGTTATATCTTTGATACTTTATACTGAATTTTTTTTCTTCTAGCATATTTTTAATTTCAAAAACTTTCTTATTCCCTGCATTAAAAAAAAATTCATGGCATTCTGTGATTTCAGTGATGCAGTATCTTCTTGGGTCCCTTTTAGGGTTTTCATTCAAATTTTTTAAAAAATTTTGCTCTCTGAATCATCTGGGGTTTTCTTGGTCCTTTTTCCCCTTTTGTCTTAGCGTCTGTGTTTCATAGTGGGGGCTCCCTTGATCTGGTAATCCAGTGCTGGAAATTCAAACGTAAGCCTGGAGCATTGACTCTCTTTTTGGCTTATTGTGGCATGGCGCCATGAGCAACAGTCTCCCCGGACACCCTGTAGGAGGCGGCTCGGGAAGTCCCGCATGGGAACCAGTGTGTGCACCGAAGTCTTGGGAGATGGTGGAGCTGTACCTCAGCTTGAAGAATTAAGGCCCTCAGAAGGACAAACCCTTCTTGGGCACCAGCAGGCTTAAGTCCACTCCCTGCCCCAAATTCCTCGTTTGTGTTCTGGGGGGACCAGCAGCATAGTGATGAGGCCGACACTGTCGATATTTCCCCTCATGGATACTGAGGCACTGAAGGAACTCAACAAGAATAAAACATGAATCAAGAAGCTAGCCAAGAAGTATGATGCCTTTTTTTTTTTTGCTTCAGAATCTCTGATCAAGCAGATCCCACGAATCCTGGGCCCAGGCCTCAAGAAGGCTGGCAAGTTCCCCTCCTTGTTGACCCACAATGAGGACATGGTGGCCAAGGTGGATGAAATGAAGTCCAGAATCAAATGCCAGATGAAGAAGGTGCTGTGTCTGGCAGTGGCTCTTGGCCCCGTGAAGATGACAGAGGACGAGCTTGTGTACAACATCCACTTGGCTGTCAGTTTCCTGGCGTCATTGCTTAAGAGGAACTGGCAGAACATCTGGGCTTTATGCATCAAGAGCACCATGGGCAAGCCCCAGCATCTGCACGAAGGCACACAGCTCAATAAACCCTAGTGCTACAAAAAAAAAAAAAAAAAAAGAGTGGGGTAGTTACTTGTGCACCCATTGATAAGATGATCCAGAAGTACCTTCCTACCATAAACAACTAGAAAACTGGAAACAATATATAAAAAAACAATTTGCAGGCTTGTCAACACAAAACTGAGAAAAGGGAGAAAATGAGGTGAGCCTTACTACCACCTAGGCTTTCTGCCTGGAGGAAATGACCAGACCATGGCCCAGAAGGAGAAACCTAAACAGAGATTGGAGTTGAGAGAGATCGAGGTGGCTACACTTTCCAGGGCAGAGTACTTAAAAAGAGCAGGAATTACCCAGACCTCCACTGATCTGTTTATTTTTTTTTAAAGATTTTATTTATTTATTTGGGAGAGAATGAGAGATGAGAGCACGAGAGGGAAGAGGGTCAGAGGGAGAAGCAGACTCCCTGCTGAGCAGGGAGCCCGATGCGGGACTCGATCCCGGGACTCCAGGATCATGACCTGAGCCAAAGGCAGTCGCTTAACCAACTGAGCCACCCAGGCGCCCCCTCCACTGATCTGTTTATGCCTCTGGTGCAGTCCCACTAGTCTGGACAACAACTTCAAAGAAAGGAATACTTGACAGGGAGACATGACATAAATAAGTTTCAGATCTCACGTAGGCCCAAAAACCATTTAAGTTCCCACTAGGCAGCGTGGAGAGATCGCCTTGAATACCTGGGGCATTCAGTAGAGACCCCAGAAGGGCCATGCCTTAAAAGTGGGGTTAAACTGGCTTTGGGCTAATGGGAACTCTACAACTCCCCTACAAGAGCTGAAAAACCGGGCTTCAAATGGATCGGGCTTCAAACCCACAAGCAACTTAAACTGCCTGCCAAACAAGTTTGATCTTCTTTAAAGGAATATAAATCCAGCATTTGGTGATAACAAACTCACCATGTTAAAATCACTAGCCAGGGTGGAGCAAGAGGGCGGAGCAAGAGGGCGGAGGAGTAGGAGACCTAAATTTCGTCTGGTCTCAGGAATTCAGCTGGATAGGGCTCAAATCATTCTGAACACCTACGGACTCAACAGGAGATCAAAGAAAAGAATAGCAGCAACTCTCTGAACAGAAAAGCGACCACTTTCTGGAAGGTAGGACATGCGGAGAAGTGAATCCGAGGCGATATTTGGGTAGATAGACCGCAGGGGGGAGGGAGCTGGCTATGGGCAAGTGATAGAGCCGCGGAGCACAAAATCGTAACTTTTAGAAGTCGGCTCCGCTGAGGGACGTCGCTCCAGTGGCTAAGCGGGGGGTGGAACCCTCTCAGGACCCTCGGGGTCACAGAAAGACAAGGGGGGCCTGAGGGCAGCAGAGCTCCCAGGTATCGGAGCGGGGAAGCCAGCTGCAGAGACAGAGCCAAGGCGCAGGCTCTCAGGTCGGGGTTGCCATAAACTGTGATCGGTGACACAGTCGGGCCACTGCTCCTCCAGCAGGGACCCAACAAGCGGCAGAGCCGGGGAGACTCCCCTTCCTCCCCCGGGAAGAGCGGCGTGGGAGCGCACCACAGGGATCTGCTGGGTTTGGAGACTCCACACTGAGTCGGGTGCCAGAGATAGAAACGCTCAGTCACAGGCCGGGTGAGCACAGAGTGCGGCCGGAGACCAGGGAGACGGGAGTGACTGCTTTCCTCTGGGGGCGCACTGAGGAGCAGGGCCCCGAGTTCTCAGCTCCTCCGGGCGGAGATTGGGAGGCCACCATTTTCACCCTGGTCCTCCAAAGCTGTACCGAGAGCTTGCAGGGAACAAAAGCTCCTGAGAGCAAACCCGAGCAGCTTGCTTAGCCGGGACGACAAGGGCGGGGCAATTCCGCCTCCGGCAAAGACATTTGGGAACCACGGCAACAGGTCCCTCCCCCAGAAGATCAGCATGAACAGCCAGCAAGCCAAGACCAAGTTTACCGATCAAGGAGAACGGGAGAACTCCAGCGCTAGGGGAATACTGCACATAGAATTCATGGCTTTTTGACCATGACTCTTTAGTCTTTCAAAGTTAAATTTTTTAATTTTCTTTTTTTCTTTTTCTTTTTTTTTTGAATTCTTCTTTTTCCCCTTTTCAACCAACATCTTATCGATTCCTTTTTAAAAAATCTTTTTTAATTTTCCTTTTTACAGTCATCTTCTATCCCTTCATTGTATTTAACCTTATTTTTTTGTATATATATATTTTTTTCTTTCTTTAAAATTTTGGGATACAGTTTCTTCTAACAGACCAAAATAATACCCTAAATCTAGTGTATGATGATGTCCTAGTCTCCTGCCTGATCACATTCTCTGTTTTTTTATTTTTTCTTTCTTTTTTCAACAACTTCTTATCAATTCCTTTTTAAAAATCTTTTTAAATTTTCATCCTTACAGTCATATTCCATCCCCTCGTTTTTACCCTTATTTTTGTATATATGTAAGTTTTTCTTTCTTTAAAATTTTGAGAGGCAATTTTTCTAACAGACCAAAATACACTCAAAATCTAGTGTGTAACTCTGTTCTATTCACCAGCCTGATTATATTCTTTTCTTTTTTTTTCCCTTTCTTCCCCCCCGGCCCCCCCGTTTAAGGTCTCTTCTGATTTGTTTAGTGTATATTTTTCTGGGGTCGTTGTTACCCTTTTAGCATTTTGTTCTCTCATTCATCTATTCTCCTCTGGACAAAATGACAGGACAGAAAAACTCAAAAAAAAAGAACAAGAGGCAGTACCGACTGCCAGGGACCTAATCAATACAGACATCAGTAAGATCTCAGAACTACAGTTCAGAATGACAATTATAAAGATACTAGCTGGACTTGAAGAAAGTACAAAAGATACTAGAAAATCCCTTTCCGGAGAAATAAAAGAATTAAAATCTAACCAAGTCAAAATCAAAAAGGCTATTAATGAGGTGCAATAAAAAATGGAGGCTCTAACTGCTAGGATAAATGAGGCAGAAGACAGAATGAGTGATACAGAAGACCAAATGATGGAGAATAAAGAAGCTGAGAAAAAGAGAGAGAACTACTATCAGATCATGAGGGGAGAATTCGAGAGATAAGTGATACCATAAAACGAAACAACATTAGAATAATTGGGATCCCAGAAGAAGAAGAAAGAGAGAGAGGGGCAGAAGGTATATTGGAGCAAATTATAGCAGAGAACTTCCCTAATGTGGGAAAGGAAACAGGCATCAAAATCCAGGAGGCACAGAGAACCCCCCTCAAAATCAATAAAAGTAGGTCAACACCCCGACATCTAACAGTAAAACTCACAGTCTCAGAGACAAAGAGAAAATCCTGAAAGCAGCTCAGGACAGAAGTCTGTAACCCTTTCTAATGGTAGAAACATTAGATTGACAACAGACCTATCCACAGAGACCTGGCAGACCAGAAAGGACTGTCATGATATATTCATAGCACTAAATGAGAAAAATATGCAGCCAAGAATACTATATCCAGCTAGGTTGTCATTGAAAATAGGAGAGATAAAAATCTTCTAGGACAAACAAAAACTAAAAGAATTTGCAAACACCAAACCAGAGCTACAAGAAATACTGAAAGGGGTCCTCTAAGCAAAGAGAGAGCCTAAAAGTAACATAGACCAGAAAGGAACACAGACAATATACAGTAACGGTCACCTTACAGGCAATACAATGGCACTAAAATCATATCTTTCAGTAGTTACCCTGAATGTAAATGGGCTAAATGCCCCACTCAAAAGACACAGGGTATCAGATTGGATAAAAAACAAGACCCATCAATATGCTGTCTGCAAGAGACTCATTTTAGACCCAAAGACACCTCCAGATTGAAAGTGAGGGGGTGGAAAAGCATTTACCATGCTAATGGACATCAAAAGAAACTGGGGTGGCAATCCTTATATTTTAAATCAGAAAAATTAGATTTTTTTTTTTTTTTTTTTTTTTTAGAGCCGAGAGGTCTCACACTTATTACTGAACCAACCTACTGGTGCAGAGGCATAGTCAGAGAGAAGAATCATTTCCATGATAAGACAAGTCTATGGCCAGGTAGGAAGGATGTTTACAGAATGATAGAACACATGATCTTCATGCAGCTTAATTAAATATGTATGCCAATTAGGTGTGTCATCTCATGACGTGTGACGCCTTACAGACCCAGCTTGGTTCTTCTCCAGTGCCTCCTTTTGGAGTTGTACCTGATCTTATTACCAGTTTTCAACCGAATCCACTGGGGAATGGGACGATTCTGCTTTTGTTTCTTGGCCAGGAATCGCTTGATTCTGAAAGTCTTGTGAGAAGACATGGCAAGAAGCAGCCAGCCACACAGAGCAGGATGGCGGCAAAAAAGAGGGAAGACAAATTAGATTTTAAACCAAAGACTATAATAAGAGATGAGGAAGGACACTACATCATACTTAAAGGGTCTATCCAACAAGAAGATCTAACAGTTTTAAATATCTATGCCCCTAGCAAAGGAGAAGCCAATTATATAAGCCAGTTAATAACAAAATCAAAGAAACACATTGACAATAATACAGTAATAGTAGGGGACTTTAACACCCCCCTCACTGAAATGGACAGATCATCTAAGCAAAAGATCAACAAGGAAATAAAGGCTTTAAATGACACACTGGGCCAGAGGAACTTCACAGATATATTCAGAACATTCCATCCCAAAGCAACAGAATATACATTCTTCTCTAATGCACATGGAACGTTCTCCAGAAATAGAAAAAAGACAGTCTCTTCAACAAATGGTGTTGGGAAAATTGGACAGCCACATGCAAAAGAATGAAACTGGAGCATTTCCTTACACCATACACAAAAATAGACCCAAAATGGATAAAATATCTAAATGTGAGACAGGAATCCATCAAAATCCTTGAGGAGAACACAGGCAGCAACCTCTTCCACCTCAGCCACAGCAACTTCTTGCTAGACACATCGCCAAAGGCGAGGGAAGCAAGGGCAAAAATGAACTATTGGGACTTCATCAAGATCTAAAGCTTTTGCACAACAAAGGAAACAGT